TATTATAATTTAGTTGGTATATAATGATAACTCATTTGCTTTAATTTTCATAACTTGATTATTAGAGAGGATTAACTTTTTGAAAAGGTTGTTTACATTTTTATTTCCCCTTGGAATCTTTCTGCTCTAAAACGCAGAGACACTCTCATTCTACTTTGTTTTCCTGGGTCATGTCTTTCTGCAAGCCCCAAACCTTACATTTTGGCCTTTATTGATGATATGAGCCCATAACATTGTCTGTAACAGCCTTTAATTTCATTCATTCAGCAGCAGAATTTTAGTTGATCAAGGTTCTTATAGGAAAACACTCTAGCCTAACTTTCAGAAACCAGCAATCCAAGTGGTCTAAGTGCCTGCCTAGCAAGCACACAGACTCGGGTTCGATCCCTGGTACCACATGCCATGCTGGCCCCGGATCCCCAGGCACACTGTGCTGGCCACCGAAACCAGGCATGGTGGCGCGGGTCTGTAATGCCAGCGCTGGGCAGGCTGAGAAAGGAGGATCACTGCAAGTCTGAGCCGGGTAGTGAGACCCTGTCTCAAATAAATGAATAAGCAAATAAATAAATAAATGAAAAATCAGGCATGAAGGTCATGTTTCCCCTCTTGGGACAGCTCATGAGCTAGTATAGCAGGGCAATGCAGAAGCCTACTGACAAATGAGATAGTTCTTCAAATTGTTCTTGACTTTGGATTCCAACCTTAGCTGTTTTCTGTGGAGTTTTTGAGGCTTTTATCTTCTAAGACATTAGAATGTGAACTGCAAGTTAATGGCCAGTAGACCCAGAAGGGGCATAGGAATGTTACACCATGGTTTTCATTTGTCAATTTCTGTCTTACAGATCTTTGGGAGGAAAGGAGTGAAGTTCTCTAAGACAGTAGTTTTCAGCTTCCTGAAGAACTGTTTTTCTGGCTTTCTGCTTTTTGGTGTATGTATGTAGGGGGAGTGTTAGAGGATTTGGAACCCTGGATCTGAATGCTTTCATGACAAAAACTGTACATATGTTAGGGAGGCATATCTTTCTTTTTCTTTTTGTTTGAGACAGGGTCTCACTATGAGTTCAAGCTGGCCTTGAGCTCACTTTGTAGCCCAGGCTGATCTCAAACTTGCAGTGATCCTCCTGCCTGAGCCTTCTGAGGGCTGGGATTATAGGCATGCACCAACATTCTCCGCT